CTTTCTGCCTTTACAAATGTAATGTTACTATTGTTGTTGTTGTTGTTATCATCATTATCTGACCCCACTTTGAATACTATGTCCAGCTCTGGGCGTCTTGTTTTCAGACTGATTCAGTGCAATTAGAAGAGATGCCAGAAACAGCAATGGGTATATTCAGCGATCTAAAAACTAAGACCTATGAAGAAAAATGGAAGGATCTGGGGATTGAATCTTCAGAAAAGATAAGGGAAGGACTATAATAAACACTTTTCTAGCATCTGAAAGAATGCACAGACAGTAAGTCGAGACTCTTATCATTTCAGAGGGTACAGAATAGGGCATTTAAAGTTAGAGGAAGGTAGATTCTGATTGCAAACATTTGACCCCCCAAGGAAAGTGATAAATTTCCTTTCACTGGTTGTGTTCAAACTGGACAGCTATCTGTATAATAATGTAGACTAAACCTCAGACAATGGATTCAATGGCTGAAATGTGGCCTTCTAAAACAATGATTTTATGGATTTCCCCCATTCATCAGTTCAGTTGAAGTTCTATCTAGCCAACTTGAGACAGCACAAACAATAGCACCTTAAATTTTTCTGCACCTATTGCTGATCCATAGGATTTCTCTCTTCGAGTATGATTTCTCTCTATTTCAAGCAATAGTAGGCTATATAAATGCTGTGAAAAAATAAATTAATGAGTAAATATAATAATGTGGAAAACATTGAGGGGACAATGCAGCATGAAGTCTGACCTAATTATCTCTGGGATTCTCTACTCTGATTTGTCAGCATTTTCTAATATTCCTCATTTGGCATCTCCTAACTAAAATAGATAATCCTTGCTTAATGATCCCTATGATATTATTATACACAAAAAATGACAGTGTACACAGCAAACAAGATAACTATGCTGGGTTTCGTATCACAAATCAGTAGTCGAACATTTCCCAAGGTTTAGGACTGTGTGATGTATCAGCGGATTATGTGAGCGGACCCCAGTAAGGTGGCCTTCTGCGGCTGACCAATGGTGATTTTGTCAGCACCAATTGTTTTTAAGTGCTTGCCTAGGTCTTTAGGCACAGCACCCAGTGTGCCGAGTACCACTGGAACCATCTGCACTGGTTTATGCCAGTCTCTGCAGTTTGATTTTCAAGTCCTGATATCTGGTGATTTTTTTCAAGTTGTTTCTCATCGATTCTGCTGTCACCAGGTATGGCAATATCGATGATCCACACTTTTTTCTTCTCCACATGATGATTCCTATGATGATGATGTTGTGAGATGAAGCAGTAGTTCAGTGAAACATCCTGTTACCATCCCACTTAGCGATGACAGTTCCAGCAGTCCCAGTTGTTGAATGAAGTGAATGACCCATGGTCATTAAGCAAGAAATCATGTGACTGTGACTTGCAACTTCCAACCAGCTTCTCCATTGACTTTGCTTGTTGGAAGTCATCTGCAGTTACAAATGATAATTATGTGACGGTGGGACACGGCAACCATCATAAATGTATAATGGTTGCCAAATGCTCAAATCACAATTACATGGCTACAGGGACACTGTGATGGTCATAACTGCAAGGAGCAGTCACAAGTCACATGTTTCAGTATTATCGTAACTTGGAATAATTGTATGATTGTTAAGAACTATCTAATGGAATTTTAAAAAGAGAAAATACACCCAGGCCGAAATAGAGGCAGTCTGCCCCACAAACGTGCAATGATTGAAGTACAATAAATCAATAGTTGAAACTGATTTGACGCTGGTCTCCTTTGGGGATGGGGATGGGAGGAGAAATAACAAAAGAAACTGGCAAAGAAGCAATGAACTCCTAACATGACATTTCTTATTGTTTTCCAGATACGGCACTGAATCAGAATGGGGCTGCTACAGCTAAAGATAGTGTAATGACTTTTTCAGAGCCATTTCAAAGCACTGTTAATGCAAAATTATGCTAATATGTCCCCTCTTTGTCTTCAAATAAAATAGTAGGGAAGAATCTACTTTTTTCTGCTTTGCTGAGAAGAATATGGTTTCAAAAATATGGTGGATAACGGGTCTGAAAGCTCAGGAAACATGGTGTTAACAAAGAAGACACATAGTTGAACAGCTAACTGATAAGAAAGGTGGCTTGCCCACACTTCCAGAATAGCTTGGAGTTAAGCTGAGGGAGGGAGGGAGGGAGGGAGGGAGGGAGGAAGGAAGGAAGGAAGGAAGGAAGGAAGGAAGGAAGGGACTTCTGTTTACATTCACAGTACAGCCCGACTTTGTCTCCAAGATCACAGGTACAAAAACTATTAGATTTTAGACATCTTAAACCTACTGTATAATAGGAGAATCCAGTTTAAAGAAGGAAACAATATATGTTTATGCCAGTGCACTTGGTGATGGCTTAAGGCTGTTCACTCACAGCTAGGTACAAATTAAGTAAAATCATGCAAGGGAGGGGGAGGAGACAGTGTCTGGTTTTGTATGGAGGCATTGCTGCATAATGAGGTTGTGCCAGTGCAAAGTCGTCTCTAGAGTTGCCTAATCAGGTGGTGTTGGCTAGTTTGAAGAGGTTAATTAGCTTTTTTCTGGCTACGAGCTGCTCATCTGAAATTGGAACAAGCAGAAGTTTTTTTCTGCAAGGGCTGGTGGAACTTGAAGATGATTTGCTGATTGAAAGAATGTCTTGCCTTGCCCTGTCAACCAATTGCTAGCCTACAGAAACTTAGTCCTTTTCTCCTTCCCACCCCAAATAAGCGTTTCTTCCTATTCCTTGAGACTTCTTATCCATCCCTGGCCATCTGCAACCACATTAAATGTTATGAAAAAAACACTGGGGTGCAGAACCACTAGACAGCAATGGTGGCACAGTGGTTAGAGTGCAGTATTGCAGGCTGACTCTGCCGACTGCCAGGAGTTCGATCGTAATAGGTTGATTCAGCCTTCCATCCTTCTGAGGTCAGTAAAAGTGAGGACCCAGATTGTTGGGGGCAATATGCTGATTCTATATAAACTGCTTAGAGTGCAGTTACAGTCTTGCTCCAGTCTTGCCTGTGGCAGACTTTCATTTTGTTACTCAAGGTTATTCCTTTTATCTTTTACATTGCATCTCAATGCATACAAGGCTATAACAAGAGTAAAGACAAGGAAGTAGGGTAGTAGGTGTCTTAGAATTGCTTTGTCCTGCATCTTTAACAAAACAGGTTCTACATGCAGGGCTTCAATAGATGTACAGAAGCTGCAGAAAGGATGAGAAAAATCAGCCATATGCAGAAAAGAGGCAAAGAGATCTGTGCAAACAGTTACGCCAGGAAGTTTTGGAGGTAAAGCCTGTTTCTCCAGTAGGAAAAAGGCAGCTATATAACCTTCTCCCTTCCTTTCTCTTATAGTCTCTGGACTTGGATAGCGGAGTTTGGGCCTGAACACTTTTGCCCTAGGGAGAACTCATATGGCAAGTTTGTCTTGAGGTCCCTGAAAACTCTGCATTTGTCCTGGACACATAATTTAGGGAGGTCAGAGAACTATATTTTTTTTACTTTTAGGAAATGAAGTTCGGGACATTCTTGTTATCTGAGGATGTAAACCAGATCAGATGGCACAGCATTCACTGGATGCCAATTTTTGCAGTCTCCTCTGGTTGTTCTTCTTGGCATCCAGAATGCCAATTTCTGCACTCTCTTCTCCTCCAAAATAAAGATTGACTCACATTAGCTTCTAGTTTTTCATCATTCAGAGACATGATAGGAGATATTCAGAGCATTTTGAAGCCAGCTGGCTTCAAGATGGTTTAGAATAACTGCAGGGTGGAAAAGATGCCATTCACACATCCCCCAAGTGGAGTAAAAGATGAAAAAATTGTGAATACTTATTTATAACCTAACTTTCTGTTATTATTATTTTTGTACTTTGAGTTGACATCATCTGTCCATCTAGTCAGGGATTTAAACCTACAAATATCCCTGAATTCTCACACACACACACACACTAAATCAAGGTTTCCAAGGAAGCAACAAATGATAACATGACAGGCCTGACAATAATTGCTGTTCTGAGTAGGTAAACACCAGTCTTGTTTTGTTTTTAAATAGTTATCTGCATTCTATTCTATTCTATTCTATTCTATTCTATTCTATTCTATTCTATTCTATTCTAATCTAATCTAATCTAATCTAATCTAATCACCTCCAGTAAAAAATTACTTGGGCAAAACCAGCAGGGAAAATGATTGTGATAGAAAATAACATATGAAGCTCCAGATTGAACAGTGGAATCCTTGGTGCTCTGCTCTCCTTAAATAATTCAGTTTTAGGAAGGGAAAAAAAATGCCTAAAAGGAGGGGCGGAACAGATGGAAAATCTGGCATATTTGATATCGGCTGCAATGAACACGGGACGAGGAGAGGAAAGGCGGGTGCTGCTGGGATCTTTTTTCCGGATTCGGGGTGACGTCAACGGGAGCCACCATAGCAGGTAGCTGTGTCTGGGGGGTGGGGAGGGGAAGGTAGGGCAATTCTCCTCGCAGCTCTCGCGGGGGTGGGCTTTCGTTTTCAAGGGGAGAAGCGGAGAAAAGGGGCCAGAGTTGGGGCTCCGGCTGTAACGAACCCGAAGGGGGGGGGGGCGGACCCCCCCCCCCCCCAGAAGGCGCCCCGCCTCGGGCGAGAGGGGCAGCCTTGAACTCTTCCGCACAGCTCCCGCCGCCGGCTCTCTCTCTCTCTCTCTCTCTCTCCCTCCCGGGAAGCAGACCAGAAAGGGAGGCCCTCCCGCCAGAAGGAGGCTGCGTAGGGGCGGCCGGGGAGCCGAGAAAGGCCCTCGCCGTGCCTGGAGAGAGCGGCTGTCGGAGCGGCACGGAGAAGGGCCTGATTGGTTCGGCGGAGAAGCTGCCGCGCTCGCGCCCCGCGGGGGGGGGGGGGGAGGAGGAGGAGGGAGGGGAGGCGGGCGCTGAGGCGGGGCCGGGCCGAGCGCAACGAGGAGGGGGCGTCGGCTCCGCAGCCAGCGCGCCTGCCCGACCGGTGGCAACGACGACAACGACGGAGAAGCTTGGGCAGCGAGCAGGCGGAGGAGGAGGGGCGGGGGGTCTCCGGGCCGGGACGGCCGGGCCCCATGGGCGGGTGTGTGGGCTCTCACCACGACTCTTCGGGCAGCCTCAATGAGAACTCGGACGGCACCGGAGGTGAGAGCGGCGGAGGGGCTGGGCTGTTCTTGGCCGAGGCGGGGAAGAGAGGCGAGCAGAGGCAGCTGCTTCTCACAATGAGGAGAGGGAAGCCGAGAGGAGCCCTCGGCGGCCTCCTCTTCTTCTCCTTTTTTCACTCGGCGGTCTCCCGTTCTTGGGAGACTTGGCCGTCTATCCTGCCTTCCTCCGCCCGAAGAGAGCGCCCCGCTTCCTGGAAGTGGTCCTCCTCCTCTTCTTCCTCCTTCCAACTTTCCACAACTAAAAGGCTCAGCGGGCGCTCTCCAAGAAGGAGCGGGACCTCCAGGGACCCGGGCAGGGCTGGGGCAATACCCCTGACCTGAAAGAGACGGTGGGACTGAGAGGGAAACTATCCCGCCCCCCCCTTCCGTCTCACCCACTCCAGGGATGGGGAGAGAATTGCTCTTCTCTGCTCATGGTGGGCTGCCTCTCTCCCTTAGTCTCACCCTCTTTAAGGGGAAAAAAGGACACTAAAAAAATAGTGAATCCTTTATCTTCCAAAGAATTTGAACTGTAAGAGCTGCTGCTTCTTCATCATTATTATTAGAAATATAATGCATGTTATTGATAACTTCGGATTGCCAACCTCTTAGGGGATGAGCATTCCCTTAGGAAAGAGTCACCAGTGTTCACCTATAGTTCAATGAGTTGTCCTTTAATGTAGTGACATTTTGGGAAACTAGTCTGTTGTAAATGTGGCTTTTCCTAAAGCTCCCCTGCCCTCTGAAACTCCAGAATACCCTGAAGCATACAAAACATCTAATTGTGTCAGAGAATTGAAGTTTTTAAGTTAGAATATTTCTTTCCCTTAAAGCAGGCTGCACTCAAAAGTTGCTGGGTGCAGCAGCTGATGTTTTGCCTGCTTGTAACTTTGCATACAATTGTATGATAATCAAGGGAGGAGGATAGTTTTTCTCCCCCCCTTTTAAGATTGTCTCCTCTTCTGCCACCTGGAGAGCATTTACCACCCACTTAAGGGTTATGCCTCCTGTTGTTTCCAATAAAACAATGGCTGCTGTTCTCCTTAGTGGTATGGCGGATAGCTATGGAACATCTATTAAAGAAATCTAACGGTCCACTTAAGTTATAACAAGGACAGTGAAATATCACAGGCTCAACTACTCTCAAATCTAATAAAGTGTAAGTTACCATTCAGATGGACTTAGAAAATTCACCATGTCTGAGTAAAGTCATCCATTGTTAAGAAACTGCCATGCTGGTTAGGTATTATGAGGCAATGGAAGGTCATAGAAGAAATAGTCTTAGATGTGATTTTTTTTTTGCTTTTATCTTCATCTTGTAGCCTGATGAATGGTTAAGTATTTCTTTAGTAAAGGGTATCATTATATTAAAGACTATAACCTTTTGCACAATGAAAGCATGTAAACAGTTGATCACAGTGGAATTATGGATTCTTTTTGGCCTGGATTTACCTATCAGGATCTTATGTCTATATTCAACTTCTGTTGGGCATCGTTTTGTGTTGAAATAATTATCATCTAATATAGTACTTGAATTTTATGGATTGCCCAATCTGTGTGAATTATATGCAAGGTTTAAGGTAAAAATAATCACTGAAGAGAGATCTGATATTTAGTTGATAATGTGATTCTCAGAGGTAAATTTCAATTTAGTGAATATTGGTTGTGCAGTAATATATTTTAGAGGGGTTTTCCCCGCTTATTTTTATTTAAATATCATCAAGTATTTAGGTATATACTTGCATATCACAATGAAACAAACCTGGGGTACAATAGTTTTTCTATTTTTTAAGATGAAATAATTGTAGTATAATGTACAAGCAAAAATGTCACATTCCCAAAATTTTGTCTAAATTTTCTGCTTTTCAGTAATATACCTTTGTGATGAATGCCTAATCTCACTAACCATTTCAAGAGTAGCACTGTGTTGAAGTTAGAAATCATTGCTATTACAATACTAGTTCAAAAACAGATCTATTGAAGTTGAGACTATGATTACTCTCCTACTAGGTCACTTCTGTCTCTAATTTTACTTGCAGTACTTGATCAATTTACAGGTTCTTGTAAATTATTGCAAACAGATCTTGCACTTTAGAGTTTTATCTTAGACATTTCCAGAATATAGCTTTAGGTTTTTTAGGGCTCTGAATTATAAGAAATTATTCGTATTCATTCATTCACTACTGATTTGTGGCGATCCTCAATCTCAATTTTTCTCTTGAGATTGCAGTTAAATCTACTAAATGCAATCAAGTATTATAGTTAGCTATGTATCATAATGTATATATGTTAAATATGCAGGCAAGAATTTGACATACAGATATCAAAGTATGTCTTTCTCATTGGGTTGTCATTTTGGACTTTATGCAGTTTTTTTTCCATGATAGATCTGAATTCAGCTGGATTTCTTATGTGGAGTTGTTTGGCAATTTAGTTGATAAAAGGCATAAGAGTTGATACATCTCTGTGTTGTAAACTGTTGTTCAAATACAGTGGGATTTAAAGACTAATGATGCCATTTTTCCTATGTTACAAAAGGGGTTTCAGCTGAAACCTAACATATAATTATTCTTTTTTGCCTATTAAATTTAAGCTGGACATAACAGGTATAAATTGATAGCTTGGCCAAGATATCTTTCTCTGGCCAAGCATTATTGGGAATTGATGTGAAAGACTAGAAGGATAAATCAAAGATTGTACTATTTTTCCCATAGATTATTTTATCAGCAAGGATTGCATGGGCTACGGTCTGACCTCAGAAAAAGTTGTTCTAACCTGTATTTCAAATGTCCAGTTCTCATATGGGCCTCCTCACAAACACAATCCATTTCCAGCAGTATAAGATAGTTTGGCACAGATTGAGGCAAGTGAAGTATAGTTCTTAACAATTTTGGTTTACATCAGTGGTTCCCAAAGTGGGCGATACCGCCCCCTGGGGGGCGATGGGATGCTTTAGGGGGGTGCTAAGAGGCAAGGGGGCCGGCAGGGGGGCATTCGAGGCACCGGCCCTGCAGGTTCACTCATTAACTGTAGCACCGCTCCAGAGCCGGCGCCTCCAATGCAGAAGCGGTAGCACATTACGTGCTGCCATGGCCGTGTTCGATGCACCGCCCCCCTGCTGCCTCTTAACGCCCCTCTGCTGGCCCCCTTGAGGATGCTAAGAGGTGGCAGGGGGGCATTCAAGGTGCCGGTCCTGCAGGTTCACCCATTGACTGTAGCACCACTCCGGAGCCAGCGCCTCCAATGTGGAAGCAGTGGCACGTTATGTGCCGCTGCGGCAGCGTTCAATGTACCATTCCCCTCCCACCTCTTAGTGTCCCCAAGGGGGCTGGCAGAGGGCGTTCAAGGCACCAGCCGGCCTGCAGTTTCACCCATTGAGGATCCGGCTCTGGAGCAGTGCTACAGTCAGTGAGTGAACCTGCAGGGTTGGATCCTCGAATGCCCCCCTGCCACCTCTTAGCATCCCCAAGGGGGCCAGCAGAAGGGTGCTAAGAGGTGGCAGGGGGGCGGTGCATCGAACATGGCTGTGGCGGCATGTAACATGCCACTGCTTCCGCATTGGAGGCACCAGTTCCAGAGCAGTGCTAGTCAACGGGTGAAACTGCAGGGCCGGCCGGCGCCTCCAACGCCCCCCTACTGCCTCTTTCCCCCCTCTGCCGGCCCCCTTGGGGATGCTAAGAGCCCTGCAGGTTCACCCATTGACTGTAGTAATGCTCCAGAACCGGTGCCTCGAATGCGGCAGCACGTTGGGAAAAGCCTCTGCCACCACTTTTCCAAAGTGCCGCCGCTGTTGCATTCTGTCTGTCTTGTCAGTCCATCCGTCCGTCCATCCATCCATCCATCCATCCATCCATCCATCCATCCATCCATCCATCCATCCAAAAGGTCTGTCTGTTTGCCTGTCTGCCTGCCTGTCTCTTTCTCTCTCTATCCATCCATCCATCTATCCATCCATCCATGTTTGAAGTGCTGGCCCCGCAGGCACATCGGGAAAGTAGAGGAAAGCCAGTCTGAGAGGGAGGGAGGGAGAGAGAGAGGGAGAGAAAGAGAGAGACCTGATGCATCAGATTGAATGAGACCTAGTTTAGACTGAGGCCCTTTTCCACATTGAAACATCTTTGCCAGCACATTGAAACCTCTTTGGCTTCTATTAAAGGTTTTGTGGACGAAACATGGTCAAGACTATCAGGAAGCTCTCACATTTTGTTGAGGCTTTAAACAGGATCCATTGGATCAGATCTCCATTCTAAAAATTACTTTTCCCCAATGTATTACAGTGCCAATTCTGAAGAAGGCAAAACCAAAATGTACTGGTAAATTACAAGGAGAATACACACACGCACACACTCCCTTCTAACCTTGCTGGAGCAAGTGATTGGACTAGAATAGATATCTCATCCTCCCTCTCTCCTTCCTTCTTTATTTCTTTTTCTTTCTGTCCCTTCCTTCCATCCCCTCTTTCTTTGTCCCTTTTTCTTTGTTTCCCTTTTCTCTTTATTTTCTCTCTCTTTCTCTCTTTCTTTTCTCTCTCTCTTTCCCTCTCTCAGGCTCATCCCTTTGGATCAGGGGTCGCCAAACTTTTGGACCTCAGGGACCACCAAACTCATAATTTTAAATCCTGGAGACCGCTAATATGAATTTTGACTGACAGTGGCTTTCTGGCGTTGGTGGGAGAGAGAGAGAGAGAGATCTGATCCAACCTCTCTCTCTCCCTCTCTCTCTCACACACAGGCAGGGGTGGGATTTAGACCCCGGATCTAAAGCTGTCAAAACTCCAAAAACTGGTCAAGTAGCTCTGGGGAGGCCAGTCATAAATTAGAACACTTGCTAAACAACCGGTCATTAAGTGAGGACCACTTGTATTTGGTTTGCCAGTCACCTAGCCACGCCCACCCGGTCATGTGACCAGCAAACCACACCCTCAAATTAGGCCACACCCATAGAAATTTGAATCCCACGCCTGGGTGGGGGGCACCAAGGATGAGTTTGTAGCACCAAGGG